AAAAAAAAAAAAAAAAAAAAAAAAACCTTAAAAAAAAAAAGTTTACAGTGTAAAAGCAGTGGCCAAACACCAGCTACTGCCCATGAGTTGCCAATATGATTTTTTTAAAATTCATATATGTAGAGGCCAGGGAGATGGCTCAGTAGAATAAGTGCATAAATTCATATAGATAGATAGATATAGATATATAACAAAAACCATAAATTTGCCATTTCAATCACTTTGTGTACAAAGCAGTGTCATTACAAATGTTCACATTGTGCAACGATGTAATTCTCTTAAGTATTACATTAAACTATTATACATTGTGATTACCAAGTTTTGGGGTGACATCTTAAATTTTACACCTAAAGCAAGTGTCTCACTCACTTTATTTAGAGCCCCGCTCTGCTTGTCCCACTCCTTGGTCCCTCCTGGAGACCGAGATACAAGATTTTTCCCGCGGAACTGCCATGGAAGAGTTATTTTTGCGGCGATCAGGTCACCGAGGATGTCCCTCCAGTCATCCGGGACGGATAGCCCCGCCCCTCCTGCGCTCGCCCCCTCCCCCGCGGCGGGACACACCTGGCGGGCACGCCCTCTACCTGCCCAGAGCCACCTGGTGGGCGAGCGCTGCTCCTGGCCCGCCCTAGTCGGGTCCTGCGGGACCTTCCCGTTGACCAATGAGGAGGGATCTCAGGCTCCGGCCTCGAGGAGCGGCCAATGAGAGTGCAGCATGCAAATGAGCAGGTGCGGTGGCGGCTGTCCCGTTGCTGCTGCCGGGGCTCCCGAGATGTTAGAGGCGCGCCGGGCGGCCGCGGACCAGACAGCGGGCTGCGAGTTGCGAGCTCCGCTCTCCGGCCATGGCCCCCGCTCCGCCCCCCGCCGCCTCCTTCTCGCCCGCCGAAGTCCAGCGGCGCCTGGCGGCCGGCGACTGTTGGGTCCGCCGCGGGGCGCGCCTCTACGACCTCACCAGCTTCCTGCGGCACCACCCGGGGGGCGAGCAGCTGCTGCGGGCACGGGCCGGTCAGGACGTTAGCGCCGACCTGGACGGACCTCCGCACCGGCACTCGGCCAACGCACGACGCTGGCTGGAGCAGTACTACGTGGGAGAGCTGCGAGACGACCCGCAGGTGGGCACAGCCGGGACACACACCCTGTCCCCCACTCCTCACATTGCCCCCTTCCCTGCCCCTCTCGCCCGCTCCCGGGCGAGCCCATCACCTGTCCTTTGGAGGCAGCCAGGTGACAGCTGCGCCCTCCCCTCCAAGAGCTCCCTTTTCCCCAGGTAGCAGGCCCCTAACCTGCCTCCATCCTCCGGCTCTTCCAAGAACCTCTCGCCTCTCCCGCCTTTCCGACCTTTTCCTTCTGCAGCCCCTGCCCTCTGACCACTTGGATCCCCGTTGCTAGCCCCAGCACCCCACTTGCCCAGTCTTTCCCTTCCTCTTCCCTTATCAGCCTCTCCCTTTTTAATCTGGTCTCGTTTCTGTTTGAATAATAGTTTCAGGGTTCAGCTCTCCTTCCCTCCCACCCCTCATCCTGCTTCCGCGGAAGCCTTGCTCAGCGAGCCTGGATTCTCTGGGGCGGCCTTGGTGAAGGAAGAGACTGGCCAGTGTCACAGTGTGCACTGTGTCCTCCAGCCCTTCAGCCCGCGCTTTATTTCTTGTCCTCCACAATGGCGTGGGTGTAGCAGAGTGAAATGTAAGGCATTTGCCACTTCTGCACAGGAAAGGGGATTAGCACTTTGAACCCAAAGTGTATGCTAAGCCACATGCTCTTTAGGATTGGGGACAGGCTCACTGAGATATATAAATCTCACCAGATCCAGGGTTTGGTTGGTCACCCCCTTTTAGGATGTAAACACAGGTTCAGGAGGCTCTGTAAATGTCTCCAGTCAAACAGCTTGTTAGTGGAAATGCCAAGGGAATGTGATTCTGCTATCAGTGCAGTCTCTTGGCCAAGGATCATAGGCAGGGGGCAAAGTCTCCCCCAAAGGCCATAGGTGGGCTTTGTTCTCCAAAACTGGCTGTCAGGTTAGTGATGGTGGGTCATGATGTTGGAGCTTAAGCCAACAGGTGTTCTTTGGCCAGTTCCTGCTGTTTTTTTTCAACCTTTGAATGAGAAAAGAATGGCTAGTGTGCGTCCTGGCAGGCCATCCTGCCTCTTAATTCTGCATCTTTCTTCAGTACCTTCCTTGGCTCCTGAGTGGGCCAGGAAGCTAAAAAGCAAAGAGGAAACGTACTCCTCTCGGGACAATTATTTAATCACTTGGTGCCATCAGAGTCTGATAGCTCAGAACACTTGAGAAAATAACATTTCTGCCACACACTGTTGATGGATAAAAGGCTCAGCCAGGCAGAGAAGTGGGAAGAACATTCCAGCATGTGGAAGCCTCTGAAGGGGAAGAGCTTGGCACCCATAAAGGACAGAAATAAAACTAGAGTGAGCAGAGGCTGGCAGGCTAGGAGAGAGCTGTGGGAGGAGCCAGAGGTCAGTGGCAATGGGTCGCTTCCATGGGGCCTCAGGCTGTGACCGTGTTGGCTTTGACTCTCAGGATGGTGGGATGCCAAGGATTTGAGCAGGGGAGGGAGCTGGTCAGATTTGCATCTTTGGAAGGGTATCCTCACAGCAGTGCCAAGAAGGGACAAGGGAGCCAGAGTGGGTGGGAGGGCACAGGTAAAGGCCCCTGCAGAGCTGGAGGTATGGCTGTGTGGGTGGGCCAGGGAGGGGGTTGGGGGCACAGAAGGAAAGCACACTTGGTATTCTGCAGTGGTCGCCCAGTTTCACCTGGGAGGTTGGTGTGCAATGTTGGGCTCTGCTGAAGCAGTAAGAAGTTTAAAGAGATGAGAAATTGGATGCAAAAAGTAATGAGTTGGGGTCAGAATGCTAGACACTGCTGGCCTTGTGTTGGCTCTTGGGCCTTGACCTGTGTTGTACCTGTATCCTGTCGCCACAAGCCTTGGGATGTGGCCTGTCCTCTCAGTATCATGCTGTTATCTCCCCTGGCCAACTGCCCTGGGTGGCCCCACCTCCCAGCTATGCCACCCACCCAGGACCAGCGCCAGGGTTTGCTCTTCCTTTGCTTCTCTTGCCTGGCTCCCAGGTAGGACTCAGAGGGGAGACTGAGTCCACATTTGCTTCATATCCTGTGTGCTGCTGTTACTGCACAATCCCAGTGTGGTCCAGTTGTGGCATCCTGATTTCTGGGCCCCACCCTGAAGGTGTGGAGAAAACTATGAACTGGCCAGGTATGGTGGTACACATCTACAATCCCACAACCCAAGAGACTGAGCCAGGGGGATGTATGTGGATTACTGTTAGCCTGTACTACATATTGAGTCCAAGGCCAGCGTGAAATGCAAATTCAAGACTCTGTCTCAAAAAAAAAAACAAAACAAACCAGAGAAGGAAAAAGCTAAAAACTAACAGTTAGCTTTTTTTTTTTTTTTTTTTTAAATCAGAACCAGGGATTGAACTCAGGCCCTTGAGCTTGCCAGCAAGTGCTTATTCTACTAAGCCATCTTTCCCAGCCCCTAAAAACTAACAGTGCACCTGCAGACTTGTAGTCCAAACTTGAGCAGTGGCCATAGTTGTCCCACACTCCAGTTACCCAGAAGCTTCTATCAGGAGCATTCTCTGGGAACCAGGACAAAGTTCTCTTTGAATTAAGGGAGAGGGCAGTCAAAGGAGAGGTCTGGGCTGCCTATCCCTTCAGAGAAAGCCGTGGTTGGAGACCCGCACTTGTGCGTGTTTCACTTGCCTGGCGCTGTAGCAGCCCTCACTGTCTGACCACCTCCATCCCCTCACACTGGACCCACTGAGGTGACAGCCCTGCTCCTGGAGCCTGGGGGGCAGAAGGGAGGTGCCCTGGGCCAGCCGGGTGGTTTGGGACTCATTCTCAATGACACCCCCCCAAAGACCCTGGGGATAGGAGCATCCTGGGTCTCTTTCCAGGGAGGTCTGCTGTTTACTTCCCCTGCCCCCCACTTTGCCACACCCCTTCTTTACACACGCTTACACACACACTTGTGCAAAGGCACAAACACAGAACAAGTCAAACTTGTCTGTGCTAACAGACCACAGGGGATGACAGCAAGCCTCAAGTAGTCTGCTGCAGCCGTGGCCCTGCACCGGGGACACTAAGCTGCCCACCTGAGCAAGTGGAAGAGCTGAAGCTGAGCCTCTTGTCATTGCCCCTGGTCCTCAAGGGATGTAGCTTCTCACCCTGAGCAGTGAGGGCAGTGTTCTTCCGACTGTGGACATGACTGCAGCCCACTTATTGAGCTACACTCAGCAGTTTTCAAAAAAAGAGAAAGACCAGGAGAGGACTTAGGGTCTAAACATCTTCCCCCAAGACTCTAAGTATTGCGTTTCCCAGATTCTGGTCCCTCACGAGACACCGCCACACTTCTCTCCGATTGCCCAACCACTTAAGCCATTACATTGAATATTCATCTCTAGATGGACTCACTTTTTATTTTACCCCTTCACTCATTCTAGGCAGTAAGACCAGGTAAATCACAGGCTTTTAAATGCTTTAAAGGTACAACTACTAAAATAATAAATGTTTATCCTTGCATAGTCCCTAATAGTCGTGAGCACCACCAGCAGGGTAGAAATGGCACTTTGGGAACTGCGCGGAGCAGGGCTTCTGAGTCCTGGTGTCCAGTGGGTCAATCTCTGGGCTCATGAAAGGGATGAATGGGCAGGTGGCAAAGGTGTGAATGTGTTTTTTGTTG